GGAATGCAGATTCTTGGTGGGTCTTGAGATGTGTGAGTTGATAGTCCCTGTGGGGACCTCCTTAGGTGGCAATGAATGGCAGTGAATTGAATTGAGTTGTCAATCTCTGTGGGAAGGGAACTCCATTGGTTTGTATCATATTGGGTTATTCAAGGCTAGTGGGGCTGTTTGGAGTAAGGTCGAGGTGGCATTGGTCGTATAGTTGTCTGAGTCTCTTAGGTCCACGTTGGATCGGTTGGGTTGGGCTGTGAGTCTTGTTAAATTGCATTGTACAGGATTCTGTCATTTTGTGCGTTCCCTGGGTCTATGTTGAGTTGAGTGAGGTCGATGGCATCGTTGGGACCGATGGCATGGTCGTACAAGGCATTGTGGAGTTAGATTGACACCAGTTGGAAATGATGTGGCTTTATGAAGGGTCCCATGATACAGTATGAGCTTTTTAGGTCACGTTGGGCTGTGTTGGGTTGGAAAGTATGCTTGACTGAGTCATTGAGGGTTCTGTTAGATTGAATTGTGTGTGTAGAGTTAGGCGGCTGGAAGTCTCGCAGGGCCACGCTGAGTTGAGCTGCTTTGGGTTTACGACCATGTGAGTCTTGTAGGAGCTGTTCAGCAGGGTCATACGACTGAGGTGGATTGCATTGAGCTGTGGCATCGTATGAGTCCTGTAGGAATATTGGGTAGAGTTGTAGTGTATGTATGAGTTCTGTAGAACCATGTTGGGTGGTTTGGGGTTCAGCTCCAGGACCTGAGGATAACAGCATTGGGAAAGAACCATGAATCAGGGAGCAAGCATGGTGTTTTGGGCCCTGGGAAGATGTACCCAGTGGCTTGACCAGTGTTACTCTCTGTAAGGGAGCGGGGTTGGAGTCTGTATCTGTGGATCTAGTTGTTTATCTCGAGGGGCTCTGGGTGAACCTGGGAAATGTAGCCACCCCTTGCATTCACCCACACCTGCTCTGTTTGGCCATTGAAAACTCTTTTCAATCTGCTCTGTGCATTCTTGCTTGACAAGGACATCAGAGCCACAGGGGAAGAGGGAGGGAGAGGAGAGGAAAGTGTTAGTGCTTTGTCCAGATGTTAAGGGGGCCCAGAAATCCATGGGGGGGCAAAGACAGGCACCCAGGAATGTATTGAGACCCAAAGGAAGGGACAGAAATTCAGAGAGGTGACAGAGACCCAAAGAGAGGACAGAGAGAGAGAAGGGAGAGAAGTCCTGAGAGGGGACCCGGGACCCAGAGCGGGGGACAGAGACCCAGAGAGACACAGAGACCTGGGAGGGTGAGACAGACCCGAAAGCAGGGGCATAGAAACCCAACCAGGAGGACAGAGACCAAGAATGGAGGAGGACAGGGACCCAGAAGGGAGGTGTTGTGCACGTAGAGTTGGAGACAGACCCCCGAGGCCCAGAGAAAGGGAACCAAAAGAAACGAAGTTAGTCCCCCTGAACCCCAGAGAGACAGAGAGAGAGACGCAGGGTCTCAATTCTCTGGAACCAGAGACATCTGACTCACGGTCTGTTGCCCACCCACAGCTCAGACAGGCAGTGGGCCACAGTGGGTGTCACCCCATCTTCCCCGGGGGAGCCGCCCAAAACTCCGAAACAGGGAGTGAGTGGCTTTCCAAGGTTGCAGAAGTTGCCGGGCCAGACCTTTGGCGCGCTGCCTGATTCCACGTGCTCCCCGTCCACCTGGCACACCCACTGCCTCTCCCATTTGGTACCTCCACTTTCTGCAGACCAGGAAACTGAGGCACGGAGGGGGGGTGTCACCTGAGGCCGCAAAGCCGACTTTGTTCAGAGCAAACAGGGCGTTCAGATGACGACGATGATGGTGATGATGATGGTGATGGTGATGATGATGATGATGGTGGTGGTGGTGGTGATGATGATGATGATGATGATGATGGTGGTGGTGATATCACTGACACAGACGGGGCTTCCTACGGACCAGGCACCAATCGAGTAATAGTCATTGATTAAACTCATCCGGTGGTTGACGGTGGTTGACGGTGGTCGCTATTCTTGGCTCTGCCCCCCGCCCCCGTTTCCTTTGCTCAGATGAAATGTTGTTTACAGGCATCAGAGGGACACTGGCTTGGGAAGAAACCACCGGGGGTTTTCCTTGGCCACTCGAAAATGCAGCTAAGAAACTCCATTTACGAATGACTGATTTAGTGCAACCACTTTATCTACAGAGAGAATGAGGTCCACAGCGTGGGAAGAGTTTGGGAGAGGTGGTAAATCATAAAACCTTCCAGTAATCACTTTCTCGGTGAACTGGAGAGCAAGCCGTGTCGAGAGACAGACACAGAGACAGGCCCCTCGACAGTGAGAGAGACAAGCAGAGGCTTACGGTGCCAACCCCAGCAGAAACCCAGAGGCGAGACAGATGCAGAGAGGAATGGAGACCTGGAGAGGGGACAGCAGTCCAAGAGGAGGAGGAGAGAGGAAGACAGAGATGGGGGGCAGAGATGCAGAGAGAGGGGGACAGGGACAGAGAAAAGGGCAGGGACCCAGAGGGGGGGGACAGAGACCAAGAGAGAGTGGGACAGGGACCCAGAGAGAAAGGGGACAGGGACCCAGAGAGAGAGAGAGAGAGGCAGCCAGAGACCTTGGGGGGGGGGGCAGGGACCCAGAGAGAGGGGGACAGAAAGCCAGAGAGAGACTCAGAGAGAGGGGGGCAGAGACCTTGGGGGGCAGAGACCCAAGGGGGGAGGACAGAGACCCAGAGAGAAGGGGACAGAGATCCAGAAAGAAAGAGGGATAGAGACCCAGAGAGAGAGGCGGACAGACACTCAGAGGCAGAAACACAGAGAGAGAGAGAGACTCAGAGAGAGGCAGACAGACCTGGGGGGACAGAGACCCAGAGAGAGGGGGACTCAGAGAGAAGGGGACAGAGACCTTGGGGGTCCAGAAAGAAAGAGAGACAGAGACCCAGAGAGAAAGGCGGACAGAGACTCAGGGGCAGAAACCCAGAGAGAGAGACTCAGAAGGGGACAGAGACATGGGGGGCAGGGACCCAGAGGGGGGGGGCAGAGACCTGGTGGGGCAGAGACCCAAGAGAAGGGGACAGAGATCCAGAAAGAAAGAGGGATAGAGACCCAGAGAGAGGGAAAACAGACCCAGAGAGAAGGGGACAGCACCCAGAGATACAGGGGACAGAGACCCAGAAAGGGGGGCTAGAGACCGGGGGGTGCAGAGACCCAGAGAGAAAGGGGTCGGGGCCGGGGGGGGCCAGAGACCCAGGGACAGAAACAGAGACTCAGAGAGAGGGGAACAGGGACCTAGAGAGAGGAGGACAGAGACTCAGGGACGGGGCAGAGACTTCGAGAAAAGGACAGAGACCTAGAGAGGGGAGGACGGACACGTTGTGGGGGGGACAAGGCTGGAGGAAGCGCTCCCACTATTTGTTACTCTTCTTGGAGAACCTACCCTGGTGCCTGGTCAGAAACGTCACTTTACACAGACTCCTGGGGGGGGGGATGAGAAAACGTGTGACGAGGTCAGGGAGGTGACCAAGTGACACTCAAATGCCGAGAAGGTGCCCCTCCCCCCATAAACAACTGCAGTCATCCTCCATGCCACCTTGGCTGGGATGGGGGGGCGGAGAGGGGAACACCCTAACCCGGGGACACCCTCTCTGCCACCTTGCCATGCCTGCTATATTTAGGCTGAAGGAGGGGTACGGGATGACCCCCCAAGGCGGGTGTCAGCTTTCCTCCTGAAAATAACCCAGGGGGAGGGGAGCAGGGAGCAAAGCCCTTCATGGAGGTGTGACAGGGTGACAGCCTTGCTGTCACTGTCCTGGGGCTCTCCAGCTCAGCACCAGCTCTGTCTTCCTTGCAGTTTCTGGGGCCCCTGCCCCCCTTTCTGATTCTCTGTCCCCCTCTCTCTGGGTCCCTGTCTCCCTCTCTCTCTGAGTCCCTGTCCTCCTCTCTCTGGGTCCCTGTCCCCCTCTCTCTCTGGTCTCTGACTCCCTCTCTCTCTGGGTCCCTGTCCCCTCTGTCTGGGTCCCTGTCCCCTTCTCTCTGGGTCTCTATTCTCTTCTCTCTCTGGATCTCTGACCCTGCCCCCCTAGGCCTCTGCCCCCTCCCTCAAGGTGTATGTCTCCTTGCCTCTCTGGGTCTCTGTCCCCCTCTTTCTGGGTCTCTGTCTCCCTTTCTTGGGGTCTCTGTCCCCCTCTTTCTGGGTCTCTGTCTCCCTCTCTCTGGGTCTCTGTCCCCCTCTCTCTCTGGGTCTCTGTCCCCCTCTCTTGTGGCCTCTGTCCCCCTCTCTCGTGGCCTCTGTCCCCCTCTCTCGGGGTCTCTGTCCTCCTCTCTCTGGGTCCCTGTCCCCGTCTCTCTGGGTCTCTGTCCCCCCCTCTCTGGGTCTCTGTCTCCCTCTCTCTGGGTCTCTGTCCCCCTCTCTCTCTGGGTCTCTGTCCCCCTCTCTTGTGGCCTCTGTCCCCCTCTCTCTGGGTCTCTGTCCTCCTCTCTCTGGGTCCCTGTCCCCCTCTCTCTCTGGGTCCCTGTCCCCCTGTCTCTATGGGTCTCTGTCCCCCCCCTCTGGGTCTTTGTCCCCCTTTCTCTGGGTCTCTGTCCTCCTCTTCTTGGATCTTTGTCCCCCTCTCTTAGTTTCTGTCATGTCTTTGTTTCTCTAAACAGGTCATTTTATTCCCAAATTTATCTTTCTATGAATTTCATGCTACCTGACATTGCTCTTGGCTGAGCTCAGGGCAAGACCCTCTCCCCAGTCCCCACCCAGGAAATTCCAGGAGAGAGGACCACGTGGAAAGCCCCCCCATTCACTGTCCCCCCAGGGCCTCGGATCTTATCACTGCCCAAGTCCAGCTGGTTAATGTCTGGCATGAAGCTCCCGGGACAGTGGGGATGCTAGCGGAGGGCGGGCCTCGCCCGGGATTGACTCGAAGTTGGCGAAGGCAGAGGGACCTCCAAGTCCGGGCTCTCGGATTGGGCGGGGGAGGGGCCGGGGTCTCCTCCCGGGCTGAGGAAAGAGGGGCTGGGGCTGGACCCTTCGGTCTGAGGGAGGAGGGGCTGGGTGTCTGGACCCCTGTGTCTGAAGGAGGAGGACGTTAGGGACCCGGATTCCTGGGTCTGAGTGAGGAGGGGGCTGGGGACCCCTATTCCCGAGTCTGAGCGAGGAGGGGGCTGGGGGCCCAATTCCTGGTTCTCAGAGAGGAGGGGGCTGGGTTCCTGGAGCCCTGTGCCCTAAGGAAGAGGTTGGGAACTTGGACTCCTGGGTCTGAGTGAGGAGGGGGCTGGGGGCCTCGATTCCGGGTCTGGGGGAGGAGGGCCTGGAGGCTCAGTTCCGGGGCCTGGGGGCCCCTATTCCCGGGTCTGGGATAGGAGGGGGCTGGGGGCCCCCATTCCCAGGTCTGAGCGAGGAGGGGGCTGGGGCCCCAATTCCTGGGTCTCAGAGAGGAGGGGGCTGGGTTCCTACCCTGGAGTGCTGTGCCCTAAGGAAGAGGTTGGGGACTCGGACTCCTGGGTCTGCGTGAGGAGAGGGCTGGGGGGTCCCCATTCCCCGGTCTGGGGCCCAATTCCCTGGTCTGAGCGAGGAGAGGGCTGGGGGGTCCCCATTCCCGGGTCTGGAGGAGGAGGGGGCTGGGTTCCTGGAGTGCTGTGCCCTAAGGAAGAGGTTGGGGACTCGGACTCCTGGGTCTGAGTGAGAAGGGGGCTGGGGGTCCCCATTCCGGGGTCTGGGGGAAGAGGGCCTGGGAGCCCAGTTCCCGGGTCTGAGCGAGGAGAAGACTGGGGGTCCCCATTCCCAGGTCTGGAGGAGGAGGGGGCTGGGGGCCCAGTTCCCGGGTCTGAGCGAGGAGAAGACTGGGGGTCCCCATTCCCGGGTCTGGAGGAGGAGGGGGCTGGGTTCCTGGACGCCTGTGCCCGAAGGAAGAGACTGGGGTCCCGGACTCCAGGGTCTGGAGGCAGAGCGAGCGCCCCTGGGACCC